GAAGAGTAGAGAATGGTCGGGTTGGATTTAAGGTATGCAACGTAGTTGCCAACTAGAAGATTAACCCACTCCTGTCGTGCTGATGAGGAAGATCAAGATTCAAATGTAAGATTAAGTATTCTTCTGTGATGCATTTAATCTCAAAATGCTTGGTGGGCTGGAAGACGCGATAGTGTATCGCGCATGATGGATATTAGTGAAATATCGCAGGTAACTTGATGAAGGAACTCGCTTTTACTACAGGAGATCCGAGATGTGCCAAAGGTTTCAATTGTATATGATTGAACATAAGATCATAGTTAAGGGTGACAATATTCGATTCTTCTAACGTCATTCATAATATTCCAATTAATCATTAAATAAATGAAATCTCTATGTGTATTAATTAGAGCTAGTCCCTTACAATCGATTATCCGATATTGTATTACTGATATAGATATTTATTCTCCGTAAAGAAAAAAAAACAAACTAAGATATACTTTAAGATATGCAATGCTTTCCTCTTTCATACCAATATTTAAATTCTGATAAGAATTGGCTTACAGATACATTTATATCTCTATGAATGAAATTGAGCTAAATAGTTATTTTATTTCAATATCACGATATAATATATGCTTAGGATAGAGCCATTTGATGATTATATTGAAATATTGATAATTAGTAGCTAACTTCATGAGGGCTTTATTCCCGTAGCCACCTTCATAGAATTTTTATTTTGTTCAATTGTTTAATTTTGCAATCATTACCTACACATCAGATATGATTTCCAAAACTATTATTGGGTTTAAATAATAAATTTTTTTTAATATTTAATTATATTATTATAAGGGTATTTTTGGTTGATAATTTTATTATATATATTTATATATTCAGAAGTTTAAAATATTGTGAGAAAATATAATCTAAATTTTAATGAGAAAAAATTTTAAATTTAAAAGAAAAGAAAAGAAAAGATAGATAGATAGATAGATAGATAGATAGATAGATAGATAGATAGATAGATAGATAGATAGATAGATAGATAGATAGATAGATAGATAGATAGATAGATAGATAGATAGATAGATAGATAGATAGATAGATAGATAGATAGATAGATAGATAGATAGATAGATAGATAGATAGATAGATAGATGGATAGATAGATAGATAGATAGATAGATAGATAGATAGATAGATAGATAGATAGATAGATAGATAGATAGATAGATAGATAGATAGATAGATAGATAGATAGATAGATAGATAGATAGATAGATAGATAGATAGATAGATAGATAGATAGATAGATAGATAGATAGATAGATAGATAGATAGATAGATAGATAGATAGATAGATAGATAGATAGATAGATAGATAGATAGATAGATAGATAAGAAAGAAAGAAAGAAAGAAAGAAAGAAAGAAAGAAAGAAAGAAAGAAAGAAAGAAAGAAAGAAAGAAAGAAAGAAAGAAAGAAAGAAAGAAAGAAAGAGAAGAAAGAAAGATATAAGATAGGGATCCAAACATATTATTATTTATATACTATGTAAAATTAAATAAAAGAATAATCGACTCTTATTTTGGCCATGGATGGTAGGAATTTTCCTCGTATTATCAATCAACATGGTTATGTCGATTACCCATTTGTATTATAAGGTAATTTTTGATCATTTTAATATTATTTTTTTATATTATTAAAATCTTAAAGGTCATATTCAATTTAAATTTACCCTAAAAAAAAACTTAATTTCTTTATATTTTTTTCTAAAACTGTTTCAATTTGTATCTTTATTTTAAAATTATAGATTAAGTATTTTTATATTATCATAAAGAATTCTAATTTAAAAATTTTTTTTTGTATTATTTATCATTAATATCACATGTTATAGCACGCGAGTTTTCAAATAGTGAGCATTGTCTTCATAGTCTCCATCTTCTTATGGGTATGTCAATCTTTTTTTTTTATTTCTATTTAAACAGGGACCTAAAATTATAAATTTTATATACTAAATGCCAAAAAAATTGGTCAAAATTTGATATATATTTATTTTAAATATCAAATTATTTGTGCCTTCAATATGTAAGTTCATTTGTAGAACCTAGGGTCTTCAAACCCACAAGTATAATAACTTAAACTTTTGTAATAATAAATATTTTTGACCCGAACCAGCCCGTGATCATGTTGCGAATTCTCTTTAGATCTAGGTCTAGCCCACCCGCTCTAATTTAAAAAAAAAGAAGCTTATTGAGAATAAAATCTTAAAACTATAATTTAAATATTTGGTCATAACTTTGATAATTTAATATTCACCTAATTTACTCTTTATAGTAAATGAAACTTATAATAAATATATTTTTCTTTATCTGTTCAATTACCCCCAAAAAATATAAAGGAATAATATGTAGGAAATCAACGTTAATATTTTTCGGGCCATAGGCTGGGCCGGGCCTATATTTGCCCACCTGCCTATGCCGTATATTCTATTTTCTTAGTTAAACAATGAATTAGATATAATTATTTTATTTTAGTTTTCATTTTAGGGCCAATTGACATAACATAATATTTGGTCTTAGATTGACATTTATTAAATGTGTATTTTGAAGTTTCTCTTTGAATACGAATCAGCTGGTGACGCTCTCTATTTTTGTTTTCGCATAACGTGCCATTCCTTGATTTATATTGATACGTAGTTAAATGAATGAATCAGTTCCTGATTATATTACGTTTCATTGGATACATAACACGCCCATCATTTATCTTAAAAAAAATGAAAGACGAGCGAAGGGTACAGAATATGAATATGAGTAGTGTTGTTAGACGGCTAACTCAGTACTTTATCCAGAAACATTTTGACTCAAGCATGTAGAATTTGCTCATAGATCGCAAAGAAGGTCTGGGCATCTATTAACCAAATTTCGAGGCTTGGAGCAAAATTTTTCTGGCTTAAATATCGAGTTAGCCATATTTAAAAATCGGCTTCAAAACGAGCCGTTTAGCAAACACTAGATATTAGAATGCTGAGGATACTCGCTAGCATATCAAAAACTAGGTACTTTAGAAGATAGTGGATCTGTTAAAACAAAAATCAGGGTGAACAGGGTAAGATGGTAGCGATAGAAATTGAAAAAGCTTACCACTCGATTTGGCAAAAGCTAAAAAGATTTTTAAAAAAATAAAATATATGTAATCTCCTTGAGTTTAAAATCGACTAACTTTTTTTTTGTACTTTATTGAGTTTAAAAAATTTGGCACAATTTATAAAATTACACATCTTTTAAAAGAGGTTTTGATATTATGATAATGATAAAAATACGAATGCTATTAGTGTATTGTATTAATTGTAATTTAAAAATAACATGTAAAAACCATGTATATTAGAAAAATAAAGTGGTTTAAAATCCATACATAAAAAGGCTGTAAAAATATGTTGTAGAGTTCGTAACAAATTACGAATAGAAATTGACATATATCTAATAGGCAGCGGCTACATAAACCGGTGGGGGGATCAGTTTGCATCCTATTTTTTGAGGGCGACAGGAGGTTTTAATGGGGGGGGGGGGGTAGGATAAATTTTTTTGGGGGGTTATCTATTAAATTTTAAGATCAAATAGGACAAAATTTATTGTTGTAAAAATTAATACTTTAATTATAGTATTATTATAATACAATTCATCAACCAAATCTACGTATTGCAAACAATCATATAGGATATTTTCCAAATAAAACTTTCTGCCCATCCTTTCAAATGTAATTTTAAAAGGTTTAGACAATTTCAGCAAGCTCATAATGCGATAATAATGAATTCATTGTTAAATGATGGTGGTTTTAAATTTGAACTTATTATCTAAATAAATAAATCCTTTATATTCACAAAAATATTCGATAGTAGTTGGTATTAGTAAGAGATAAAATAATTTAAGTTATTCATTTTAAATTTTCTGAAAGAGTATCATTATAATTTTTAAAAAAACTGAAAGAAATTAAAAATAGGGAAGCATCGCCGTCAAAGGGCAGCTAAAATATTTTAGACAGGTAGGCATAGGTTTTTGAAGGGGGGGTTTGCATCCAGTGAAAATCCTGACATGTATACGCTGCTAATAAGAAAAGGGTTCGCTATACTGGACCATAGCGTTAACGTTTTTTTTATCACTTAAAATGAATAAAGGATTATAAGCCTAATTTTTTTTTTCAATTGATTCTACCATTAGTTTTTATTTTGACCTTTTTATATGAAACTACAAAATTTTACGAATATCAAGATTTATTGTTTTGCGTGCGTCGTATCTTATTTCCAAGAATTGGGACCGTACAGAAAAAAATTCATCTATGATTCCCAATGAAATACGATGGAACTTCGACCAAGGAAATTATGAACATTTCTTTCTCTTATAATTAATTTTATCAAAAAAATGAGATTTATACACAACACGTAAATAATAAAATGTTAGAAATCCGAAATTTCTCTATGCATTTATATATAGCAATGAACGTAACGTGATTTTATAATATTTTTCATTTTTTTTTATCTAAAGGTCTGATTTATATTGCTTTTTTTTCTAATATTTCAGAAATTCTAGCTATCGAATGCTGCAGTGCAGAATAAAATAGTTTTTATTTTACCAGAATTTTTATAAAATAAGATAAGGAAAATTTGGCGCGATAGGTAATTCCGTATACTTTTAAATCGCGTAGAAGATTATTTTTGGCCTTTAAAAACTGATAAATATGTTTCACTACCAATTTCAAGATTGTGTTATTTATTACCATGAATTCCGAAAAATATTTCTATAATATTATATTATACGAATTAGATTTTTTAAATATATATTTCGAAAATATTAGCTACACATATGTTAAAACATTGGCGAACTACAAAGAGAGGTGATAAATTAAATTTGTTATTCCCCCCCCCCTCCCTCTAACCGTAGCCATTTTTCTCACAATAATATTCAAATTAATAAACTATGTGTTAAAAAAATTGAAATGTGAAAAGGAAATATACAGTCGATTAAAAAAATATAAATAATACTTTTATTTAAAAAAATTCGGAAATATTAAATTCTTTAAATAGATAAAAATAAAAATATTTTTAAAATTAAACGAACGTTATCACGAACGCGTTCAATAACACTAGATATTACATAATTTAAAAATAAGAAAAAACAATAGTATATTATTAATTTATACAATTTATAAAGATTATATTCAAATATTTAATATATTATTTTGTAATTAGACCAACAAAAGCCAGCTAAGATATTACACTGTGTGTGCATAGGCAATAGATGAGTAATAATATATATATTTTTTGATTTTGTTTTCTAAAAGCTATATCTAAATATTAATATATATCTTTGAAATTCGAGAAAAAAATGAAAAGTAAAATATTGTAAAATTATGTGTGTAGTATTTAAGTTTGCAATATTAAATTTTTTTTATACAAAGGATGCTAAGAAAGCTCATATATATATATATATAAAGAAAGGAAAGAAAGATATATATATATATAATTTGCAAATCAAAACTTGTTTCAAAATATTTTAGGGAAAAAAATGATTTAATTTACACATCGAGGCCTACTGATAATGAATTATTATCGAATTTCATATTTGATCGGAAGTTATATACAAATATTTGGAAAAAAATTGATGGTATAAAGTTTTGAAAATTTTTTTAAAAAAAAATAAATTTGCGACATTTTATATTGAGAAGGTTCCCCCCGTTATAATAATGTTTTGAAGCGATGCCAATGAGAATAATATTATTTTTTGTGCCAGATCCTTATTGCATCCTTTCGCCAAATACGTTTTACCTCTCAACGCCCCAGCTCCTGATAGTGAGTAATGACACATAGCAAACAATAAATCTATGTATTAAAATTATAAAGGTTATAAAAGAAATGAAAGAAAAGAATTGGTGAGAATTAAGGAATTGTAGATGGGATAATGATAGGTTGATAAGCTAGTGATGTTAAACGGCTCGTTTCGGCTAACCCAATATTTTTATCCAGATTAATATTGACTTAAGGCTGCATTCAAAGTGGAGACGAATCCGTTTTTTACAACCGTTCCGTCAAAAGTCAATCTCATTAAAAATGATATATATGTTCATAGTGCGTCCGTTTCGATACATTCCGTCTTAAAAAAGGATCCGGCAAATTTTAAAGTCAAAATCTTATAGAGCTTTATAACGTTATTTATAATTTTTTTAAAAATGAAAATCAATTATATATCATTTTTAATGAGATTGATTTTTGACGGAACGGATGTAAAAAAACATATCCGTCTCCACTTTGAATGCAGCCTAAGACTCTAGATGTCCAAAACTTTGTTCCTCTCTACAAGCAAAATCTTCAGGGTTGCGTAATTATTATTTCTGAATGAAATATTGAGTTAGCCGTTTAAACAACACTAAGGGAAATAAAATAAATAATAGAGGTAAATGAGGAAGAAAATTATAAATAAAACTTAAATAAATTTATAGTGAAATATGAAAATATGAATGTGATTTAATAGAAAGGGGAAAAAAAAACTTACCCAAAAGAATGATAAGAGTATCATGACAATGCTAATTGATACGATTTGCACATCGATATACTAAAAATATGATATAATCATTAATTTTTTTTAACCTGTTATATACTATTATATATATATATATGTTGTTGTGTCCCATATTAACTGATCCCCTCTTTTGTTTTTGAACAATTCTGTCAATTCTAAAAAGTCATTCAAGAGAAAATTTTTGTAGATGGACAGGGTATACCATCAACTTCTGCAAATTACTTTAACAGATTCCAGAGTTAGGCACAATGAAAAAAAAATATATATGGCATCTTATTAGTAACATAGTTTCCCTATTACTCGGAGGAAAAGGGATTTCAAGTAAAGATTAACTTGAGTTTTAATGAAAATTCTAAGGCAAGAAAAACATAAAGCGGTCAAAGAATTTTGATAGAATTTCCTAACAGATGGGCGATCGAAGCCTAAAAGTAATTAATAGCATGTTATAATGCTAGCCAATCGTTTGAAAACCTGTATGGGTAGTAGCTTCTACTATAAAAAAAATGCTGATTTCTCTTGAAACACTCATTATAGAGTCAAGAAGACCGAGCTAGCACCCACAGAACATGTCAAATTTTCTATGTGAACCGATATTTCGAGATATTTAGTGCAACGAATAATTCACTAAGAGCTGTAGCTGAAATGTTCAAAGAAAGCAGCAAGACCAGGATCTAACCGATTCAAATAAGATTTTCTGTCTGGTTCCTTCAAACAACTTCTACGAAAATACTCTCAGAGATTAGTTTATTTCATGTGGTTCGTATATTAATAGCTGTTTGCATTAACTCCACCGGTAAATCTGTAAGATGATAGGGTGTACTTTGTAGTTCCAATCAGAAGAAAAAGTCGCAGCCAATCCAGTGCTTCACACCCGTTCAAATTTCACTAAATCCGTCATTGTTTTAGCTGGGGTACGTATTGGCTGCAAAGCTCATCTTTATCGATCTAGGGCTTAAAATTTAAGATGCATACTATCGTGACGGTATTAATAGGCGAGCGCTTGCTTAGTAAATTTTTCATATTACAGCAGTGCAGCGATTCAGCTCACAGAGCCAGAGATACTGTAAAAGTTGTTTTTAAGATAAAAAAAATTTTCAACCACTCTTTGATCCCCTAATCAGATCTCAGAGTCAGCTACAGGATATGAAGCTTTCAAGAACGTGTTTGTCAAACCCGCATGAGCCAACGTTGAGCATATCAAACAGCGACACGTGGAAGAAGTGAATAATTTTTTTGTCAAGGAATTGTTGATAGTGCAATCAATGAATGGCCAGACGCCTTGGAACATATGTTCGAGTTAATTATTAGAGACTTTGTTTTAACATCCGTTTTTGTATGACAACATTTGACAAATTAACCTTTAAATGCCGATATTTTTACGTCTTAAATTTTTTAACTTCATGCTGGAAAAATTCGAATATTTGTTGGCTCCGAAGATGCATAACTTTGGACACTGTTTTAAAATCTCACTAAATTTGCAGTAAACTTTGATATAATTTTTTTCCCTTATCAAATCTATAAAAAAATTTTTATTTTAATTTATGTTTTAGAATGGAAACAAAGAGAGGGGTATTCAGTTTTAATTGTAATATATACCTATTGATTTTTTTTTAAATCTAAATTTTATTTCCTATTATAGTCGAAAAATATTTTTTAATTTTACCATTGTAGCCAATTGGTAAATGTACGAAATCAAGTTCTTTCCTGTTGAGATTACCATAATAATCATCCAGGGCCAAAAGTAGTATCGCTTACGCTTTCATTAAATATTGCATATATATATATATGATATATGGATACAGAGTTGTTAAAGTATCTAGATACAAGTATCTAAATAATACTGTATCTAGATTGGTATCTGTATCTAGATAGGTATTTGATTAAAGTATCTGTCTTTGTATCTAGATCCATTGAATGGATAATATGGTTACATTGTTAAATCCATCCCTCAAAATATCTTAGTGAAAAATGAATTATAGCGAAGGCATTACCTCGAGCCCATTTAATTTTATAACAATTTTAAAATAGCAGGAATAACAATTTGGGAACCCCCCCTCTCCACTGCTCTCAGCATCCTTTTTTCATCAAACTTTCTTCTAAAGGGTTATCTTTGGTTTTCTACTTTACTCTATTGATATTGGGAAATATATTAATAATTTAGAGATTACTGACATCATTTAACCCTCCCGTGTCTGGTCACAGCTGATTATTTATTTATTTTCAAAAAAAAAAATTTTCCAACTTTTAGTTAACCTTTTACCTATTTTATGCGCAAGTTTCGCCTAAAGTTGCTTTGTTGGATAGATGCGTAAAAGTTTAAAATAAAGCTTTAGGTAAAAAAATAAATAAATAAAATGTTTACTAGTCTAATGCCTATTATTAATAATGCGGCCGAGATGATTATTAATATGTTTAAGAAGAGATCCAATCCCCAAAGAGTAACGACACTACCTTTATTGTTTATTGGTAAATAGAGAAAAATATAAAATATATATTTAACGTGCGAAGGCTGGATTCATCAGTTGGATCCCTTCCCAGATTTAACAGCTGATCGACTGTTTTTTCTAAAAAAATCTGTTTATACGTTATCAATTTTTTCTTTAATTAATATGATAGATGTTCAGAGATTTCACGGTCCTCCCCGAATTATTTTTCAAAAAAAAAATTTAATATTTTCGAGTCCGGCTTGTGTTAACGTGAATGAGTTTTTTTCCGGCAATGTGTTATAGGAAGGAAGGAAGGAAGGAAAGAAGAAAGGAAGGAAGGAAGGAAGGAAGGAAGGAAGGAAGGAAGGAAGGAAGGAAGGAAGGAAGGAAGGAAGGAAGGAAGGAAGGAAGGAAGGAAGGAAGGAAGGAAGGAAATGTAATTTATATTAGTTTTTTTTCCATATTTTTTTTTAATATAAATTATAAATGACTCAAAAGTTATCGGAAAAATTTATCTAAAATTCCTGAAATAGGTATTCCTAGCATGATAAGAATCCATTTCCGCATAAATTCTATTTTTAAATTTAAAAAAAGAAAAACGCATTCAAATAATACACGCTAACATATAAAATACTTTGCTATTTAAAATTTTCGGCCCCGCCATATATGCACGGAATAAAAAATAATTTCCGGTCCGGTTAAACCCGGATATTTAAAAAGATTTAGCCCCAGCCGGGGTTAAAAAGATTTACGGGTACGGGTAACTGGGTAGTCAGTCTGTGGGTCTCTGATAAGTAACAATTTATATTTAATCAGCTGAGTAATTATTATAAATATTAATTATACGAAAAAATTTGATCTTATAGAATAATATTGAATGAATGGATCAGCTGTTAAATTGTGTCGTATAGGATCTCACCAGGAATCTAGCTTAAGGAATTAGGATTCGACAAAACGTCAATAAGATTTTTTTTTTACAATAAAGCTTAGTCCGTAATATAGGAAAAATCACAAAAAAAAAATTTTTTTACCAATTATTATACTCATATTATAAGCAAATTAAAATTAGGGGAAAATTGATTGATTTCATATCGAAAAACTGTAATTATTGGATCAAAATACAAAGCAAAAATATAAGCTAAGGCCAAATATTATTTTAAAAAAAAATTTTGAAATTGTAATCACTTGGTTGTCTCTGGGCAGTTGACAAATCGTAACTCTTGACACCCATTTGTATCAAGAAAATAATCTGAACATAAAATATAAGAATGAAATTTTTTTTTTTTTAAATTTAAAAGAAAAAGGAAAAGTTTCGCAAAATTTTTGTGTTCAATTTGGTGCTTAAAATTTTAATCGGGCCGTTATAACTCGACCCGGTTCGTTATAACTCGACCCGGTCCGTTATAACTCGACCCGGTCCGTTATTATAACCCGACCCGAATCGGGCTTTTTAAAAAAACCCAAGGTTTAATCCTATGTCTGACCCTTTATTTAAATCAAAAATGTATCACGAGACAGCTTATTTATCGGATAGTTTATCTTAATAAGAGATTTTGTTTAAAAAAAAATCATCTTATGGAATTATATCTTTCCGCGAATTTTATTATTGTTAGTGTTACCATAGGCGTAGCGGGAGCGGTGGGTAGCGTTACCCGTTCTCTTAAATATCAATTACTTCACTATTAAAACGAGTAAATAGTTAATAAAAAAAAAATTTTTTTTCAAAATAACGGACTATTTAAAATTTTAAAATTTTTTAGAAGAAAAGGAGAAAAATTAAATTTATTTTTTTTATAAATAATATAACATAGCCAAAGGCCTATAATCACAAGGCGAACCTGGGGGGGGGTGCGCAAAAGAAATTTTATTTCCTTTGGGGATTAAAAAATTTCCCCCTATACCCTTGTCCTATCTACCCCAAAAATGGGTTATGTATACAATTGTATATCATTTATAAACAATAATTTGAAAAAGGTTTTTTTCGAATAACGACTCATAATTAAAAAATTATTAAAATTTATTGGGGAAAAGCCGAAACTGCCAACGGCCACCCCCTTGGCATAATCGTTGACTACGCCCTAAGCCTATCTATAGATCCCTAATATAATTTACGAAATGCTTCCCACTCCCCCATAGCAAAATTTTTTGGCATATAATAAAATATAATCTATCCAAAATTTGTCTCACATTTCTCAATATCGAAATCATTATTCTTAAATCGACTCATTTCGTTATAACTCCCCAGATCTTTAATTTATCAATTCGCTCTATATTATTAAATTAGCGGTTTATCATAATCTTTCATCTCAGGTTCATTCCTAACAAATACCTTAGTGATAGTTGGGAGTGGTTTTGAAACACCCGATAACCGATTTTTTTTTATGAAAAAGGATAAGGTAAGGATTTTAGGGCCAACAGAGAGGAAGAAAGAAAGAAAGAAAGAAAGAAAGAAAGAAAGAAAGAAAGAAAGAAAGAAAGAAAGAAAGAAAGAAAGACTAAATGTTGTTGTTGTTGTTAAACGGCTTATCCAATATTTCAGCCCAAAAATATATTAAGCAAATCTTGGGAAATTTTTTTACTCAAAGATGGCGGAAAGATTTGTATGTCTAGTTTTTTTTTAACAACACTGAATATTACCCGACCCTCGAAATTTGGTCTAAAAGATGGCAGAATATTTTGACCATATTCTGTCGTAATTTCGAGAACTCCTAGACAATTTTTAGAAAAAATCGCCAATACGAGCATTCTAGAAAAAAAAGAAGCTTTTGTATAAATGTAAAACATAATTTATTCTTCTACACTATTTATAGCAAATTTTTCTTACACTCCAATAAGATCCTGAATTTAAAAAAAAGGTAAAACCAATATTGAATACTGGGGACATGATTCTCCTAAGAATTGGGGGGAGGGGAGGAAGATTCGAGATGTAAGTAAAACAGATGATATCAGCCCTCATTTTGAATTGATCGATTAAAATTTGGATCGAGCCTGTCTGGCGGTCTTCACCGATAGAAAATCGCCATTTTAGATTTTTTCTTAGAGGGGTGGGGGGGGGGGTTGGAGGAGCTTCGTTTTATTACCTTAAGAGAGTTCTAAGGGGACATTTATATAATAGTATCTATATATATATTGTATTAGTTGCGTTATACCAAGGAGAGGATTGCAGTTATCATGCTTCCGGTCTTTGGGGAGAAGCAATAGCAGCAGGATTTCATGATGGCCATCTTGATTTAATCTTCTTCTGCGGAATTTTATAGATTCTTTTTTATTTCCCCCCTATTTTTTTTTTAATTTTTTTTTTTTAAATTTAAAAAAAAATAATTAAAATAAAAAAAATAAAATATTTAATAAATTAAAATTCGAAAATTTTTTCGTTTTTCTTTACAAATCTTCTATAACGAATTGAGATGAGTTAATATTTTATTTTTTGTTAAAAAAAATACTAAATAATTATATACCAAAAATTGAATGGCAGGCCTACCTACCTATATGTTAGAAACTTTGGATTGAGGGGGGTTGCATGCTATTTCAAACCTAAGTCGATCCCTTGCTTAGGAGAATTTGTTTTCCTGAATACCCTTCTTGGGCTTGGTAATTTAAGAATCCATCTTTTATGACCCTTAGATCGTGGGCTATCAAACTCAATATTTGAGCCAGAAAAATATTGCCTAAGACTCGAGATTTTGCTGATAGCTGTCCAAACCTTCGTTCTTTCTACAAACAAAATCTTCAGGCTCCCGTTATATTATTCTAGATGAAATAGTGAGTTAGCCGTTTTCGGCTCAAAACGAGCCGTTTAACAACACTAATATAAATATGCTTAATAAAATGTCGTTTTTTTGTAAAGGCCAATTATTAATGTCAATTTATCAGAGTTGTTAAAGGATCTAGATACAAGTATCTAGATCCTGTATCTAGATATCTGGTATCTGTATCTACATAGATTTTTGATTAAATAATCTGTATCTAGATATTATTTTAGCCGTTGTATCTGTATCTAGATCCATTTAAAAAGTATCTTTTTAACAACTCTGCAATTTATATAAGAAAAATGCTTAAAATTTTCAGGTTTTTTTTTATAAATTTGATTAATTATTTTTATAATATTAAATTTTAAAAAATTCCTCCCTTTATAATTATAATTTTTGGTAAAATGTATTCGAATTTAAATAATTTTTTGTAAACATTGCCTTGCGTTGAAAGATTAATGCATTTCAAATGGTATCGTGCAAGTTGGGGGAAAATTTGAAGCTTTAAATGATTAATTGCGTTTTCCCCCTTATTATAACCATTACGATACGCGTAACGCCATAGATTCACTCCCCTAATCACACTCTGAGTTTAGATGTCACAATCATTGATTCACTCACCCTTTGACAAATACTGTTTAAAGGGAGGGGAGTTAATTCATAAAAAAATAAGATTTTAATAATAAGGTGGCTTCATTTCAGATTTTTCAGGATAAAATTTTGAATACACTTATTTTAATGTTTTCTATGTAAAATATTTATAAATTCAATTCAAAATTTTTTTTGTTCAATAAAAAGTGAAGATAAATAAAAAATATTAATAACTTATGTGGCATATGATTCTATAAGATTATACACAAATTAATTTTGGGTTATTCCTTTATTGAGGATCTAGTTACTTTAAAGGCACTAGTGTGCAGCTAAAGAGTATTTTTTTTATTTCCAACGTTTAATAAATTCATTTTTTTAAATGCAGACTTTTTTAAAAAAAACACATAAACATTTCAATTATAAATATATTATTTTTCTCTGACTTTATCAAGAATTAATGGGGAATAAAAAACGCAATAGTCTATACTATTTAGATGAGGGTGTGCCAGAAGCAACTTTATATAAGACTAATCCCTATATTACCAGTGAATGATGGCAATAGGTGCGCAGGTTAGTTACACCATCGAGCGAAAAAAAAATCGCAAAATTATATTTGGATCTCTCCAAAATTTCTGACAGAACTTCTTAGTTCATAACAGCATCCTTCCTCAGGGAACTTCTACTATAAAAAAAATTTTTTGGTCATTTGTTCAATATTTTTAATAATAAGGTGGCCTCATTTCAGATTTTCAGGGCTTTTGAATACACTTATTTTAATTTTCTTCGCGAAATATTTATTTAATTTTGTAAAAGTTAAGATTTTTTTTCTTCAAACCTCTAAAATTTTGAACAAATTAATATGGGGTCATTCTATTCCGGAGGATCTAGTTGCTGTAACAACGATAGAGTGCAGCTAAAGAGCATCTAACCTTTAATAAATTCATTTTTAAATGCATAAGACTATTTAAAAAAAAACATTATAATTAGTGTTTTTAAACTACCCATCTTTAGTCAACTTTAAAACAGAGTAGCCATATTTTCATCCAGATATTCTAATCAATCTTCAAGTTGTGGCTCAACTTAGAAGCCTAATTTAATTTTTTAGTCTAAAAGCATGACTAGTTGGGAATACTTCAATTATAAATAGTAGATATAATTATTTTTCCTTTCGATTTTGGTGTCTAGAAATAAGACAAAATGTTGTTGACTTTGTTAGGTTCTTGAGATCTTTGTTGATAATATAAATACTCTATTTGACAAAAAAAAAGCTTAGAAATGCAGTATTCCATATAGATTGTAGAGATGAGTGATGCCGGATTTTAATATGCAGTTGATTATTTTTCAAAATATATCCAAATGTAGGCACATTTTAGTCCACTCTATTTTCATGTAGAGTGGCCATGAAAGACATGGTTAGATCTAAGATTCAGATAATATTTATTTATCATATTTATAGGTTCAAATATTAATGACCAGGATGGCGAATTTGTGAATGAAGTTAGCACAAAGCATATCATAAACTCTTGCGGCACACAGAAAAGGGTTACAAGTGCTTATTATCCCGAGGTTAATGGTATGGTTAAAATTTGAAGAGTACAAAAGATAATCAAAACAGATTTGCCAGGAGCTCTACCTAGCGTAGTATTTGCATTGAGTCTTCAAAATTTACACCATGTGATTTGAGATGATTCATTGCAGGAAAGCTGTAATGCCCTATAAGGTATGTAATGTATATATATATAAGCTAAATACTTCTTTATGAAATTTAATTTAGTTTCCTTTCAATTTAATGTCCTCTTTAAGGCTCAATTTCTTCTTTTAAACGTTTTTCAATGCTGCTTTTTAAAAACGTTTTTTTTTTTCAGTATCTTTTTGTCCACAAGTATTTCATTATATCACCCTCTTCATCTATGGAATTTGAGATGTGAATGGTTCAGGGAAGGCTGACAGGTTCTATCTTATATATTATGGAGCAGGGTGCACTACCATTGAGGGGTGAGGTTGGGTTATGACACAAGTTCGTCATTGAAATCGGAGGGGATAGACTGTGTTATGGAGAAGAGGGGTTAAAAAAATATTATGTGGAGAGGGGAAGGTGTAAAATTATCATGGAGGAGTTTATAGATTAGATTCGCAAATTTAGATAATTATACGTGACACAGTTAGTGAACCTTAGATATCACAAAATATTTTTTGAAGTTAGGTATTTCATTTAACGAGTCTTTTAATGTTGGAGAGCGTACTTTTCATTTATAATATTTCATTCTTAGAACTTTAATTTCTTTTAGTATAATTAGATTTGGAAAGGAAGGCGTAATCCAAAGCTGGAAAATAGAAGCTAAAGCGATTTCAAGATTAGTGGAAAATTTTTTTTTTTTTAGAAAATATAGTAAAGATGACTTTATCGAGAGTTGATGGGGAATAAAAAACGCTGTTCTACTATTTAGATGAGGGTGCCAAGTGCAGCCTTATATAAGAACTAATCTCTATATTACTGGTGACAGATTCGTTATACCATCAAGCGAAAAAATCGCAAAATTGGGGATTCTCTAAAATTCCTGACAGAACTTCTAGTCCATAACAACACTCTTAGGGAACTTCTATTACAAAAAAAATTTTTTGGTCATTTGTTCAATTATTGATGTAAAAAAAAATATTGTTTCCCCGATGTGTCATTTATAAATGTCACGTATTTGGCTTAAATCTAAAAAAAAAATTTAAAATAATAAAAATATTTTTACCAATAATCAATAAAAAAATAAAAGGATGGTGGAGTGAATTGTAAGTTAATTTTATTTTGTCTTTAAGTGATTCAAAGATACGGTCAGAAAAAATAATAATTAATATCGATCCAACACGTTTAGCAATAAGTAAATATAAACATGTGTAATTTGATATCTAATCCAATGACAGAAATTTTGGCCCAAGACCTTAAAGTATTGCCGGAATCTGCTGATGGTGTGCATAGAAGCTAAAAATAATGATCAACATAATTTTTTTAAAAAATCGTTTAAAAGTAATGGTAATTTTTGTGAAAATGATTATTACCATCATGTGGTCATGTAACTAAACCAAAATTACATAGGATGGATAAAGGGGAATTGGGGTTTCATCTTGCCCCGAATTAAAACCGGTCCGGCGGCCCAAATTTTTTTCTGACTCGACCCGGGTTTTATATTTTACAGGCCAGGGGCCGGATTAATATATATTTTTTAATTTTTATATAGCTAAAATAATGGCGATTTAAGATATTTGGTTTCGAAATATACATCCCGACCCCGGTAGGGTCTCCGACTTTTATAAATATTGCATCTGGACTCGTTATTTAACGATTTATTTGCCTTTGCCGAACTCCTACAAATTAAAAAGAGTAATTTTTACAAAAAAAAAACAATTATTTTTTATTAAGGCCTATTACCTATCTTTTTACGCAATGAAATGAAGGTTTTCGCTAAATTTAGAACGATATTTAATTTAATTTTTATATCTTTAATAACTCAGAATTATTTGTTTGTTAAGATGATCTCAAACTTATATTTATTTTAATAAAATTCTTTTATAAAATCAAATTTAAATTAAGATTTTTAATATATTTTGTTTAACATTTATTCATTTAAAAATTAATTATCAAAAATATTTTTAAAAAAAAAACAAGTGAAAAAGATTTACCTACGACAAGAATTCTTAAGAAATTAAAAACGGTTAATAATGTCCTATAAGAATTTCACTACCAAAAACGATAACATTATATGAAAAAACAAATTAGAAAGAAAAATATTTTTCTTAAAAAAATATTTAATTTTATTATTTATTTATTTAGTAAATTATAAAATTGCCGAAATCAGATATTTGACTTATATTCTATATAAAAATGTTAAATTAATTTTAATTAAAGATAATTTTAGCTAGATTTAAATTTCGAGAAAAAGGCATTTT